ATTCAAACCATTTTAACTCTGCCCTGGGAGTTGGAAGAAGAATTATGACGTCTCGTGATGAAAGCCGAGTTCCCTCGGAAGTCACGGGGCCGATGCCTCTTCTGACAACCAGAGTAACCATTTTTTTAGGTACATGGAACGTTCGTACATTGTGGGAGACTGGAAGACTATTTCAGGTTGCAGCAGAAATGAAAAGATACAACCTGGAGTTGCTCGGCATCAGTGAAACGCATTGGACACAGGTAGGACAACTGAGACTAGCTTCAAGTGAACTGCCGTTATAATCTGGCCATGAAGAAGAAAGTGCTTCACATACACAAGGAGTTGCACTGTTGCTGTCCAAACAAGCACAAAAAGCACTGATAGGACGGGAATCTCATGGACCAAGTATCATTGAAGCATCCTTCAAAACAAAGAAAGAGGACATTACAATGAACGTCATCCAATGCTATGCACCTACCAATGACTACAATGGCGAAGTTAAAGATCAATTCTACTAAAGGCTGCAGTCAATCGTCGAGAAATGTTCACCAAAGGATTTGACGATTCTTATGGGAGACCTGAATGCCAAGGTTGGCATGGACAACACTGGATATGAAGACATCATGGAACGACATGGACTGGGAGAAAGGAACGAAAACGGTGAGAGATTTGCAAACCTATGTGCCTTCAACAAACTGGTCATCGGTGGCACAATATTCCCGCACAAACGCATACACAAAGCTACATGGATATCACCGGACCACACTACTCAAAACCAAATTGACCATATCTGTATCAACAAAAAGTTCAGAAGGACTATGGAGGATGTGAGAACCAAGAGAGGATCTGATATAGCTTCAGATCACCATTTGCTGGTCGCCAAAATGAAACTGAAGCTAAAGAAGCACTGGACAACGGGACAGACAAAATCGCAGAAGTTTAATACAGCCTTACTTCAGGATACCGTAAAACTCAACGAATTCAAGATAGCTCTCACCAATAGGTTCCAGGCCTTTCAGGATCTACTCAATGGAGAGGAAGCATCACTGGAGTACAATTGAGAAGGGATTAAGGAGGCAATCACTTCAACATGTCAGGAGGTCCTTGGTCGCAAGAAGCAGCATCACAAGGAATGGATCTCTGTTGATACTCTTGCAAAAATTGAAGAAAGGAGGAACAAGAAGGCAGCAATCAATGTCAGCCGAACAAGAGCAGAGAATGTTAAGGCACAAGCTGAATACACGGAAGCAAACAGGGAAGTGAAGAAGAGCATCAGAGCTGACATACGAAAATATGTGGAAGATCTGGCAATGACGGCGGAAAAGGCTGCAAGAGAAGGAAACATGAGACAATTGTACGGTACAACAAAGAAGCTCGCCGGAAACTATCGTAAACCAGAACGACCAGTGAAAAGCAAGGATGGGAAAATAATCAGCAACACTGACGAACAGCGAAATAGGTGGGTAGAGCACTTTAAGGAACTCCTGAATCGACCAGCTCCACTGAACCCACCCAACATCGAAGCAGCATCCAAAGACCTCCCAATTAATATTGGCGCACCTACGATTGAGGAGATCAGTACGGCCATCAGACAAATCAAGAGCGGCAAAACAGCAGGACTAGACAACATTCCATCAGAGGCAATGAATGCAGATGTGGAAGCAACTGCGAAAATATTTTACATCCTCTTCAAGAAGATTTGGGATGAGGAACAACTACCATCAGATTGGAAAGAAGGATACCTCATCAAAATACCAAAGAAAGGCAATCTCAGCAACTGCAAAATCGTGCACTGAGGTCAGCTGACAGACTCTTTCGAGGTGGAGACCGGTGTCAGGCAAGGTTGCTTACTCTCACCCTTTCTCTTTCTCCTGGTCATCGACTGGATTATGAAGACGTCAACATCTAGAGGGAAGCATGGTATCAACTGGACAGTTAGGACGCAGCCGGACGATATGGACTTCGCAGATGACCTGGCTCTTCTATCGCACACGCAACAACAAATGCAAGAGAAGACGACCAGTGTAGCAGCAGCCTCTGCAGCAGTAGGTCTCAACATACATAAAGGGAAAAGCAAAATTCTCCGATGCAACACAACATGCACCAACCAAATCACGCTTGATGGAGATGCCTCGGAGGACGTTAACACCTTTACATATCTCGGCAGCATCATCGACGAGAAATGTGGATCTGATGCAGATGTGAGGACGCGTATTGGCAAAGCAAGGGCTGCATTTCTACAGTTGAAAATATCTGGAACTCCAAAAAACTCTCAACCAAAACCGAAATCAGAATTTTCAATACAAATGTCAAGACAGTTCTACTGTATGGAGCGGAAACTTGGAGAACTACCAAAGCCATCATCCAGAAGATACAAGTATTTGTGAACAGTTGTCTACGCAAAATACTTCGGATTCGTTGGCCAGACACCATCAGCAACAACGTAATGTGGGAGAGGACAAACCAGATTCCAGTGGAGGAGGAAATCAGGAAGAAGCGGTGGAGGTGGATAGGACACACACTACGAAAAGCACCAGACTGCGTCACAAGACCAAGCCCTCACATGGAACCCTCAAGGAAAAAGGAAAAGAGGAAGGCCAAGGAACACATTACGCCGAGAAATAGAGAAAGATATGAGAGGAATGAACAAACATTGGACAGAACTGCAGACGGAAGCCAAGGACAGAGTTGGTTGGAGAAAACTGGTGAGCGGCCTATGCTCCACTGGGGGTAACAGAAGTAAGTAAGTAAGTTAGTAATGTAATGGTTTCATTAACTCAGAATTACCTAGAGGACTTGATGTTCCCCACCAATATACTCAAAGTTTTTGTGAGCTGAAGGGTCCAAATACCAGGTGTTCCACATGTAACCACTCAAGACTATTCCTCCTCTATTGTTCATGGTTTCTGATAAAGACCTTCCAGGTTAAATAAGCGGATTGACGCTCATAAAAGCTAGCGATATCAAAACATAGAGGTCCAAAAAGGAGATGGATAATGGATCAAAGTTTAATCATTCGCGTTCTCATGTAAAAATTATGACTCAAGCAGCAGAAGAATCGTCACAGTTTAAGGTCATCAACCACAGAAAGTTTCGACAAAGACCTAACCCAAAGCAATCAATTTAGAATCGCTTATGGCCCTCCGCTATGTCATCTCCATAATTTACTTATTCACAGCTACCATAGTTGGAATGCTTTCTTAGTTAAAGTGACTGGAGCCACCTGAATGAATAGCTCCCGTAGTAGTTTTAGCGCACTTGCTCATCTTTTACGCCAGATCTAGTGCAAGATATATATCTCGTAACTTACCTAAAAATAATTATTATTTCATACCATAAAGTTACTCCTGTTTTGCTGCTCATCATCTCGCTCCTTATTTTATTCTTACCCTTCGACCACCTCTCACTTTTTGCATTAGTAATCTAATAACCAATTTATATATTTACCTTTCCAATATGCAATATCTTTTTCACTAGCTAGTACAAACCAGCTGATTTATTTGAGCTTGATTATTGTTCTTTCGGAATGCTTCCAGGTGTTAGTGGTGTCCAATGTATGGGGTTCGGTCCTTCGACTGCATTAATCCTAGTCCGTTGGCAGTTGTTTGCATTTCCCGTGATTTGAGTGAATACGTTTGTTTCAGGGCAGTAGGGGTTCTGGATACGAGCAGTTATCACATAACCAGACTGAAGATCAGTTAGTTGCAATGTGAAGAATAACAAGGAGCAAACCCCACTGCTAATAACAAGAAGGTTTCCGAACTAAGGAAATAAATGTATAATTTCATTTGTTAATTGGTAATGAACATTGTGCGAGTCATCTTTTGGTGTTCAAACTTTTTCTGCAAACAACCGACCCAAAATCTACCAATGTTTCAGATGCTGGTCTCGGAAGTCGTATGTACCAGAAAAGAATGGATTCAATTAGATTATAAAACATTCTTACCTAAAAATACCTGCAATATTGTCACAAAATACTATAGTTCTGTGGCCAAACTACCAATAAATGCAAATTCACATTAGAAGAAAACTACACATAAACAAACGCAAACAGGTTTATGGAAACAAATCGGTTTATACCACCGTCACATCAAAATACATTACGCTGAAATTATTGGATATTGGGCAGCGGGATATATGAATATTCTTGCTCCCTCGGGAGAAATATATTTCTTGTTGCTAAGGTGGATAGTTTTGAAGATTTTGAGCTGTCGACATGAGTTAAATGCTCTTTTGGCCTAATCAGAGTTATATCCACTATTGAAATTCTTTATTTACACTTATGGTTTTTTCTACTTGAAGCTGTTAACATACCTTCGAATTTTTGGAGTTGCATTAACCATGTGGTTTGTTTTATATCAAGTTTTTATATATCTGACCTTTAATAACCGTAATCCACCGTTTTCACGTGAACATTTACATTATGCTGTGTTCCTTGCAGTATATCTTCGTTATTGTAGGACTGAAGTATGAGATTGTCTTGGTTATATTTTCAAAGTTTTGTTGTATGGGTAAATAATCAGTTTTTATTGAAACTGACGCATTTTTGACTAGAAATTGTGAAACTTTATTACTTTGGGAATTACTATTTTGGTGGAAATTTCGAGTAATTTTAATGTGACGTCCAAAGATGAAGTGTACTATGTAGGCACCATCATCATTAGTCCTCCAGTGCGGCATAAAGCTCGTATTTTATAATCCCTTATGTTGGATGATATGAAGTAATGTTTTTACTTGCTATGTAACTGAGGTGTCATTTCACTATGGGAAAAGTCTATCGTGATTGTCATCTGAAACTTCATTAGGAGCTTGCATTAGTTATTTGATTTTGTGAGCAAGTTTTAGTATTATTTTATGTGTAATTACACATCGTCGATTGATTAGCTTTTAATCATTATTCTAATAAGGAGAACGTGCTCGTCGTCAACATTTCAGAATTCTTCATAACAAGTTTTATAAGAACTTTACCCATTTTTAAAAAATTTTATGCACTCTAAATGAATTTTTTAGTGATTCGAATGATGAATTTTGAAGAGGAAACCAACCAATTGAATCATCCAGCAATCCATAAAAGTGTTTCAACTAGAAAGCTGAAAAAAAAGACAAGTGAAAAACAATTTAAATCGACGAATGTTACATTTCATATTATTCTATTTCTTTTGGCAACAACTGTCGGCTATTTGCATTGGTATCATGTTTCAAGTTTGCATGAAAACGACCTGTTTTTTTCACATTTATCCAATACGGAGCGTGAGCTGACATTTAGAACTGAGATGGGATTTTATTATTCTTACTTCAAGCAGGTAAGGTTCTTTGTTTGATTACCTAAATGTTATTGAACTATATATTTATTCCATGTTCTTCAATGTATATAAGTGATTTTTCATTCTTTTACGGTCTCCCAGGGCCTTATGCATCCACATAATGAACTAAGGAATTAATGCAACATTACATAAGTCGTGAAAGTTTCGTCTATGCTACAGCTGCATTGTGTATTGCGGTCTGTGTATGCATTCTGTGATATTTCTCAGCCCAAATCTTTAACAAGCCAGTCATGAATCTGATATTGTACTAGTTCACGAATTCACTATGTTTAATTTCCACTATAATATTATTTTGACATTTCCCTCATTAATTTTCTTTCACTATGTTCTACCAGTTCCTATTTTGTTTGTTAGTGGCCATTTACTATCTTACCTGAAAATGTAGTTTACTTTATTTGTATTCGCTTTAAAAAATACTTCACACTTACACGTATTTGACAGGGGTTCGATTACAGTTTTCTGCACATGATTATTTAGCGAAATTTTATTGAAGTAAATTTACAAACTGGAATCAATTCACCCAACAGGTAGTGCGGAGATCGAACATAAAACTACAGAATAAAGTGAGATAACACTTAAACCTTTGATTTGCCAACTTTATATCGTGATTTTTCTATTTGTGTAAGTATAAATTCAAATAAATACGGCCAATAACCTTAGTGGTATATAAAATTAGTGAATCTATCTTCTCAACTCGTTTTCGTTTGCGACTTTTCACGTTTTCACACCTATCTATATAGATTGAAATAGCAAAACATGTACATCTGGACTTATCTGACAAATTCCTATTTGGTGGGGCTCACTTATTTAGTCTACAGTAGCTATTAGTGAAAACTGTGAAGAAGTTAGATTGAAATATTACCTGACTGTAAATAGTTGATTTCAAACTATTTGATTAAGTAGGTATCTTATGAAATAACTTGTATCTGCTTTTTTTCGAATTTTTGTATTACATTGGCTGAATTGTAGGGTATAGACCATTTGGAACCCAACTAAATGGTTTTCAGTTTTCGTACTCAGATGGATCACTATCCTGGGTTCGATCATGCATGGGATTGTAAAATTACACTACTGACAATTACAGAACAAGAATAAAAGTTATTTTTTCATCTAAGTAACTCTTTAATTGACACCTGTTTGGAATCCAAATTCCTTTAGTTTTACTAAGTCACTTTATTAAATATAAATTACTTTACTTAAATACAAGTCCTAAACTTTTTAATATAAAGCTTTAATGTTATATCCTATATAAGCCATATTCATTGGTAAATTAGTTCTATCTTTGTTATAACCTTTTGTTTAGATGGTTTTGGCATCAACTTTTATGGAAGGGTTCAACTCATTGCTTATGGATACTAGAACTGAATATCCACCTTGTTTAAGCCTAGTAAATGATACAGGTAAATTCAACTTCTTTCATTTCTCACACTTACTGACAGATACTCAAAAGGATAATCAGTGTGCAAACCTTAATGCTATAGAACGCTTTAATCTTTATCCTGAATTGTTGTTAGCTGGTGTATACAGATTCTTAAACACATTCAATTTAACCAAACGTTACTGTTTTCAAGTTAAAAGAGATCCGCCAACCAATGTAATTGCAATCGCTATAAATCCAGATGTAATGGAGAATTTATCACAACTTAAAAAGTGAGCAGACGTAGCTTTGATGCGTGAGCTATTATTATTGTTATTATTATTATTATTATTATTATTATTATTTTATTGCTTTGGTCAGATAGTGAAGTTTTAATTTTAAAATGCATATTTGCTGTTGTTGAAATCTAAAATTAACGACGACCGAAAGATCGTGTAATATCAAGATTTTGTACAACTTTCTATTAATATCAGGTTGATTTAATTCAAAATCATTTTATTAAGAATGGCCAAAAATACATTGGTTTACTGTCATAACAAGATAAATACTGAAATAACTGTGGCTAGTGGGGATAAATGACGTATAAACTTATTATCGACCACCGGCTACTATGAGACTGCATTTCTAGACATTGCTCAACTGCTTTATAGATTAGACCTGTGCGTCAAAGGCTCGGGTAGTAGCCCTCTAGGAAAACTGCCTGTTTCTGTTTGGACAGTTTTGGAGTTATCCGATTGTACTTACAAATTAGATAATTTTTGTAGTGCATGAATATTTAGGTGTCTCGTTTATGTGTTTAAATAAAATGAAGTGATAATTATCGGTAATGATTGATTTATGTAGCCCACTTTTTAAATTGGGTTAATATATCACTTTTACGAGTTATCGCCTTAAAAGCGAATATTAATTATCCTTAGGATATGGCACTTTGGTGTTCTCTAAGGGAACAGACATTTATTTGTTTTATATATTTCTTTTGAAACCCTCATTGGTTTTCCAACTTTTTGCAGCACCAGCTTTCAAAGTAAAACTAATGAGATCAGGAAAGCTGAACTCAATATGGCTCAGTCGACGGAAAACGATGTCAGTCTCTAAATTTGAATAAACTGAATATCAGAAGATTAAGTCGACTTAATTTATGGTTAACAGGAACTGATTTTAGTTAGAGCAGTTCCAACCAAGATAGTCTGTTGTCTACAAATGATTGTCGGACAGGAATTATGGATCAGAAAAAAATTGAAAATCATCCAACAGTTCTTGTTCACCATACTCTACATCAAATTTTTTAACCGTAGTAGATGATCTCTCTTAGTGATGTCTTATTCCAAAGTTTAAACCTTTGTTCAAGGTTAAACTGTTGAGTAGGAATTTCTTAAACCTCAGCTTTGTGTGTGTAGATATTTGTCAAATGGCGGATTCTGAGTTAAGACCATAAGTTTTCGACACAATAAAAATCTATTTAAATGATTTTTGTCAAGAACGAAATTTTAGTTTAGTGCTGCTTAAAACTACAGTACTGAAATTGTATGTCTGATAAATGTGTTGAAAAATCCAGATGGATCCATACTCGTCAAAAAAGTTATTGGTGGTAGTACGTGTCCTTGAATTTTATTATTATTACTAAACCATTGAATTGTTTCATTAGTAACATCACAGTCTGTAATCAGTGTGATATTAGTGTTGCAAAACACCTTTGTCATACTACTCTTCACATTCTATTAGGTTTGCTACATAAAAGTGAGAGCGTTTAGCTCATTTTTGCCCTTACTCGGTAACGATAATCTTGCTTTGCCGTTCCCAAGCAAAACCCGACTCATACCATCTCGTACCGCAGCCCGACCGTAGCTGCTACCTTGACGTGGTGGTCGGACTTGCTTATCGTGATGACCCGACCGAGCTATATTGGCTGGAACGGATGTTCCTAAAGGTTCTACCATGTCAGGCAGGTCGATTGGAGAACGATGAGACTAAAAGCAGCTACTCAAAGTCTGAGGGCGAAGTCGTACTGCAGAGGGGTATGACATCAGTGAGGTGTTTCCATCGGACAACCAGCATCTGCAGCGATGCTCCCTTCTCACAAGGAAGGAACGGTTAGAAAACGTCGACCCTAAAAATGTCACACCTCACCCTACCTCACGGATTTCCGTCTCCGTCGGTAAGGGCTGCCCACTAAGGGCTTTAAAATGAGCGGAGCTAATACTCAAAAATCCTTTCATAAAAAGGCCTTGCGTGACCGGCCTGAAGCAGTTGTCCATTGGGCTCTGCGGTCACGCTCCCAGCTCTCTCTAAGACCGACACTAATCTACCTTCTTTTTCAGGTTCCTTAAGAAACACCCACGGTGTTGGCAGCCGAGAAGTGACAACCGCCCTCATACCCGTAACAACACACGAGACCAAATAGGTCAAAATCGAATCCTTCCTACACCCCCTAATACCTCTCTTATATCCACGACTAACTATACTCACATTCCCTTATCTGACTGCACCGCTAATGCAAACGATACGAGTTCACGGAACGTCATTCCTGGTCTCCCGAAAGCCCGTTCTAGACTACATGTTGGAGCATTTGATGTACAGACATTGGTTCAAATAGGGCAACAGGCTTAATTAGCTAGGACTTTAGAATCTCGCTCAATCGATGTGTGCTGCGTCTCGGAAACGCGCATTCAGGATCCTAGTTAAGTCATTAATTTGATTTCCCCTTATCAAAACAAAGAAGCAGCTCGATTTACTCTTCGTGTATCTGGAAGCCCTGATGCTGCTTCCCGGGGTCTGGCTGGTGTAGGTATAGTATTGAGTCGTAGGGTAGAACTAACGCTCCTAGACTGGATCCCAGTAGATAGTCGCTTGTGCGCTGTCCGGTTGAATGGAACAGTGAGGACTCGGAAAGATAAGGACACCCGCCGTTGCCTTTTCTCATATCTGCCTGTTAGTGGGACATAGATGGAATTAAAGCATGACTACGTTTTTACGCGCTGATTGGCTAATTTCCTATCCAATCAGCGACTGATCGATTCTTGGAGAACACGGTAGAAGATTCTCGTGTTGTTAGCTGCATGCTGATTGGCTAAATCTAACCCAGTCGATCACGTTAATTACAATCCAGAAGCTTCTCATGAAAATACTATAAAGAAACTAACGTTGTATGTATTTTGCCTGCGCCTTCGGCTTCTTATTTCCATTTAACCTTGCTGTTTGAAATATAATCCTTTACGTTTCAACCTTGTTTTTGATTCTTTGCAACGTGGTCAGAGAATACTAAGCAATATGAATTAGCTGGAATATATTCAAGCTAAGCGTTACAACACTGCCTATGCCCCCACTGACTGCAGTTCAGACGATGTAAAAGATGAGTTTTACAGAAAGTTTTCGAACCTCCTCCAAAAAGCTAGGCGCTCTGATATAGTAATAATGGCTGGTGACTTCAATGCTCAAGTAGTTAGACCAAGTGAAAATGAAAGACACCTAGGTGGATGTTATGGTGTCGCAGCTCAGAGAACAGACAATGGCGACCGTCTGTTGCAAGTATGCTCAGATAACCAACTATTTCTAGCAAACACTAACTTTAGGCATAAGGAAAAACATCTTTTGACATGGAGACCTTCAAGGTCGTCTCAACTTTGGACCGAACTAGATCACAATTCCATTAGCCACCGATGGAGGGGTTCGATAGAAGACTGTCCCACGTTGTGGGACACATGTTTAGATTCAGATCATGCTCTAGTGCGAACGCGTATTTGTTTGAGGCTTACTGGACGTAGGAAAGACACCGTAAGAAAGCCACTTAAGGTTTTACTTAATGATAATAAAGCAAAGAATATATTTCTGGGACGACTAGAAAGAGAGTTGAGCAACCATGTAAGCGATTCCAATCCGGAAGCAGGTTGGAATGATATCCAAAAGCCTATGGAAACAGCAGTGACATCTGCTAGCAAGAAACCGTGTATCTAAGTAGCAAATTACTGGACTGATGGATGCTCGAACACCTATCTCGCCTGGCTCTAAACATGATGAAGAACGGAGTCAGCCCAATGGCAGGCTGATTAAACGACTACGAAACGACCGCGATTAGTGGTGGCAGGCAAAAGCGAGAGAGAAGGAAAAGGCAGCAATAAACGACAACAGTAGGCAGTTGTTCCGCCTTATCTAGGAAACTGGTATTAGGAACCCGAATGTAAGTGAGATTATCTCGGAAAAGTATGGTCTTATTATCCATTCTCAATCCTGGAGATGGGATCGATGGGCAGAACACTTTATGGATCAGTTCAACTGGCCTTCAGCAACAACTCGGTTACCCACGATCTCCAGTCAATCTGAATGACAAATCGATTCAAGTCCTCAGACTCTTTATGAAGTTGAGAAAGCGATAGGAAATCTGAAGCGAGAGAGAGCAGCAGCGCCTGATAGATTGAACCCTGAGGTTTTTAAGGATGGTGGTTCAGTTTTAGCAGCAGGATTGACTGAGATCTTAGGTAGAATTTGGGAACTGGACGCAATCTCATCGGACTGGTCTCGATCACTGATTGTTACAGTCTATAAAAAAAGGACAAAAGACCTCTTGTGATTATCACAGAGAAATCCGTTTGACTAATATGGTGTGTAAAATGTTAACCTCGATAATACTTAGACGCTTAACTAGAGCTCGTGAAGAACAGACTAGAGGAAACCAGACTGGTTTATGACCTGGACGTGGATGTATAGACCGAATTTTCACGAAACGTCAGGTCCTACAACACAGACATACGTTCAGACGTCCCATAATAGTAGTATATTTCGACCTTAACGAGGCAATAGATTCTGTTGATCGTGAGGATTTATGGCGGCGTTTCTCATTGAAAGATGTACCAAACAAGTACATTAACCTTATACAGGCTCTCTAATCGAACACCACTGGTCGAGTGAGAGCTTATGGTGAACTGTCATCAGAGTTCTTTACTTCAAGTGGTGTCCGTCAGGGATGTCCACTCTCTCCATTCTTGTTTAATTTTATCATTGACATGCTTCTAGAAATAACCTTATCTTCGTCTGAATTTTCTGGAGTAGTCTTTGTTCTTATTCACTAACCTCTGTTTGCTCGAATCCAAATAACCGTTCCTTGATGTTCGAGCAGTTGAGAGGCTTTTACCATCACACACTTCGGATCCATCTTGATGCCTACACTTTTCACCCTTTTCTTTCTTTTCCATACTTAGAAAAGCCATCTTATCTGTTACACCAACCGGCTTCTTGCTAGGACACGCATCAAGAGGTTTTACATCGTTACGGTCACATA